ACACACACACACACAGAAGACCTCCTGACAATGTGCGTTTTTTCTGGCTTTAGCAGCGTTATAGCGCTGCTATTAGCGTTGCACAGCAAAAACTCATAAAAGGGCTTGCCACAGAGTCAAATGATTTGACTGAAATGGCTTACACTTCGCTGCTGTTAAATTTGAGATAGAAAATTGCAACTCTTGGAAGATTATTAGTTCATTGTTTAAATATCGCAAAAAAGACAGTTTTGAGGCATTCTGTGAGCTTATACTACTAAACAGTATAACATTAAAACAAAATTACGTATACATAATAAGCTCTACAGCCAAGGAAAATAATGCTTGCAAGACATTCAAACAACGCGACAAAACTGATAAACCAGTAGAGAACCGCGTCGGTTTTTGAAAGCTTGAACTGCCATTCTAAACTGAAAGGTCCAGAAGCTGTTCCTTCAAAATATGCTGCACGAGCTTGAGAATGCTAGCATCGGAACGGCTGATGCCAAGCGAAATGAATTCGGCCTTGCTCAGCATTATGAATGTCTCAAAATCTATTTCTTGCTCCACCAATTTCTGGCACACATCCGGGGAGCATCTTCTATTCAGTAGACTCCAGTATTTCTCTGTAAACAAAATCTACCGAGTCGCGTGCGTCAGGGCTTTGCATCAAGATTTTTGGGGTCATTCAAATGTGCTAAAGCAGGCATGCACTAAAATGGTATTCAGAGAATTCGGATGGACGTATTGTTCTGAGCACTGGGGACAGATGTAACCGAAACGAACCATCGTATTCAGCAGTTCTGTTCGTCCTGACACCTTCAATCATCAATGATGTCCTACCACTGCAGCACCAATTCGTGCCCTTTGCGCTACTGCCATCCGGCGTCGAAGCTAGGGAATAACTTAAGCTGCAACAAGTGCTACTTTTCAAATATCAACTCATCATTTTTATGCTTTTTTGCATAATATGCAAATTGCAAAAACCCATATTGGGAAGAGGCTGTGTGTGTGTCTCTGTCTGTATGTTTGCACTTTTTGTCACCCACTTTTAACTCGGAAACAGAAAAGCTAGAAGGCTGAAATTTCCGGATTATGTGCCCATACTATGCGCAACCCTCCCGTTTTAATTTCATCCCCCGCGGGCACCTGGTGCCGCGTACGGACGTTTAAAAAAAATATGCAAATTTTCTGGCGGGAAAGTGGTCTCGGGAACCATACAAGTTAGGAGGCTGAAACTTTGTAGGGATATTCTCTGTGCGTATACTAGTTAAAGATTTCAAATTCAGCCCCAGGTATGCGTAGTACTTACGTAACGGCGCATGAAGACTTCCGTGAAAAAATTACTGTCTCCGTACTCAGAAAAGCTGGAAGGCTGAAATTTCAGGGTGATGTTCCCTGTCCACGTGCAATTTAAAAATTTCAAATTCAGCTCTCTAAGCACGTGGGGTACTCATGTACGGGCATGTGAAAATTTTAGCGGGAAAATTGCTAACTCGGTAACCAGAAAAGCTGGAAGAATGAAATTTTGGGGGAATGTTCCCTGTCAAAGTACAACTTAAATATTTCAAATTTAGCCTCCAGCTATGCTTGCTATTTACGTATAAGAGCGTATGAAAATTTCTGCGGGAAAATTACAAACTCGAGAAAACTAAAATATTGAAATTTTAGAGAAGTGTTCCCTATCCAAGTGCGGCTTAAGTATTTCAAATTCAACGTAGTTATTATGTATGGGCACTTAAAAGTTTTGGCGGGAAAATTTCTCACTAAAGAGCTAGGTTACTTTTAGAGAACGACCGTTAAATGGAAATCGTACGACTACTTTATGCAAAATTTATGGTAATTTATGTTTGTGACTGCGAAAGGTAGGTGTAAAGCAACAAGCATTTATGCAGTTAATGATATAAGTACTTCAAGTCCGCTGCAAAAACGAGTGATCGCACGGACCTCCCCCCGATGATTTCCAGCCTTGTTTAGCAGCCAAAAACCTCACAAAAAGGGTGCAATCTTTCATCACTGCTATTTATGCGTTTTTATGCGTTTTTTGCAGCAATGCAATGCGAAAAACGCATATTGACGAGAGGTTGT